TGTGCATCTATTGCTATAAATAGTCCTCTGAGGACTGCTTTTGCTGTGTCCCAAAGGTTTTGGTATGGTGTGTTTTCATTCTCGTTTGATTCTTGGAATTTTTTGATTCCATCTCTGGTTTCTTCTATTACCCAGTGATGTGTAAGCAGCGTATTATTTGGTTTCCATGTAATTGATTTTTTTCCTTGTTCTTTTTGTTGTTAATTTCTACCTTGATGGCATTGTAGTCAGAGAAGATACTTTGAATTACCTCAACGTTTTGGATCTTGTCGAAGATTGCTCTGTGGCCTAAAATGTGTTCTATTCTGGAGAACGTTCCATGTGCACTGGAAAAGAATGTGTACTTTGCAGCTGTTGGATGGAGTGTTCTATGTATGTCTATGCAGTCTAGTTAGCTGATTGTTCTCTTTAGGTCTTATGTATCTTTGCTGTGTTTCTTCTTAGTTGTTCTGTCTTTTACTGAGAGTGGTGTGTTGAAGTCTCCTACTATTATTGTGGAACTGTCAATTTCTGTTTTCATTGTTGTTAGAGTTTGTTTTATGTATTTTCGAGCCCTGTCTTTGGGTGCGTAGATGTTTATTATGGTTATGTCTTCATGATGGATCATCCCCTTAATCATTATATAATGTCCTTCTTTGTCTTTCATGGTGGATTTTGTTTTAAAGTCTGTTTTACATGAGATTAGTATTGCCCCTCCTGCTCTTTTTTTGTAGTTGTTAGCTTGATATATTTTTTCCAACCTTTGACTTTCAATAAATTCACATCTTTGTTTTCTAACATGTGTCTCTTGTAGACATCATATTGATGGATCCTGTTTTTTTCCATCCATTCTGTCACTCTCCGTCTCTTTATGGGTGCATTGAGTCCGTTTACATTCCGTGTAATTATTGATAGATGTGAGTTTGTTGCTGTCATTTTGTAGCACTTTTTTTTTGTGGTGCTGACGTTTTCTTTGTTCTTCTTACTCTCCTGTGCTGAATTCCTTTTGTTTGTGGATTTTTTTTTTTCATTTCTTTGTTTTTGTAGGTTTTGTTTTTGCTGAGACTTTATATTTTTCCTCTCTATTTTTATGAGTATGTTTGTTAACTTTCTTTGTGGTTACCGTGAAATTTACCATTATCTTTCTAAGTTTGAAGCAGTCTATTATTACTTGGTATCGTCTTGCCTTCCTCTCCATAAGAAGGTTCTATACCTACACCATTTATTCCCTCTTTTATTGTTCTGATGCTGTTGTCATTTACAGATTAAGTGCTCTGATTCCTTGTTGTATTTCAGTTTGGGATAGTCCTTGAGAGTTCATTTCCTAGATTGATATCTGACTGGTACGATCCTGCATCCTAGAGTCAGCCTGTGAGCTGAAGTTGGTTTTTCTCAGATCGAAGAACTCCCTTTAATAATTCTTGTAAGTTTGGTATGGTTTTTACATATTCCCTTAATTTCTGTTTATCTGGAAATG